CTAAGTTACATGGAAAGCATTGGAAGAAGACTTTTTACAGGAGACATCACTTTGAAATTTTATTAAATTCAAAAAAACCGACCCATCGGAAAAAACTAAGTTGCAAAACTCTTTAGAATTACTTTCGAAATCTGCAAACATGGGATAAAGCCTGCAAAACTCGCTTATAAGAAGAGATGGAGTTAATTGCAGTCGAATCGGGATGCTTTTAAATATCTGGGGCTCAAACAAATTCCGATTTAAAATTGCCAAAACTTGAGTTGAAGGCTTATTCTTCTGCAGCTCAATCTGTTAAAGAATATATATTGTGAATACAAATGTAAATATTAGAATACTAAAAAATTATATAAAATTTACATTAAATTGAATATTTCATATAAATACAACACTAATGATTAGATTTATTGATAAATTTATTTTACAATATAAAATTTAAATTTGTACAATTAAAAGCCATTTATATACAAACCTCAACTTCATCAAGTAACTGATCTTTACTTAAAACAGGTTCAGCTGAATTTACTAACGCCAACAAAGAAGATGATTTTTTGGATTTAGAAAGTTGTCCAAATTTTGGACTAGCTTTGTTTGACTTTGTCCATTGTTGCTGTCTTAATGTATTAGCTATTAAACCTAAAAGCTTATCCTGAAAATAATATCATATCTCAAAATTTTTTTGTTTTTTTTTAAATATTGCTACACTCTCAGTAACACAAAATTTAGAATATTCTCTGCAACAAAAAATTTATTGCAACATGTGCAACAAAAAATTTGTTGCAACATCTGCAAATTAAAATTTGTTGCTAACAAAATATTGAAAACATAAACTGTATTATATTATATTCATGAACTTAAATTAATAAAATAGACGCACCCAGTCCTCCATACATAATGGAAATTGACTTATCATTGAAGATTTCAAACGTGTAAAAAACTCTCTCCTAACCCATTTATCATTGCTTTGAGGCAGAAAATCCCTGCAATAATTAATTAAGGAGGTTTTTAACTGTTTTTCTATATTGTTGATAGAAATACTTTTTCCATTCAAATACTCAATCACTGAAAAATTAAAATATTCTTCAATGCTACGAATTCCAGCTTCAGGAATTGGTACTTTTAAGATCTAAAGAATACAAAATATTTACAATTACAAAATTTTTAATAAGTAATAAAATTATCCCTAAACAAATATTATGGTTTTCAACTCAAAAAGCACATTTTTAATAATTATGGGGGAAAAGTAATTCTTGAAGAACTATTATTACTAAAATCATAATAATACAATTAATTGCTTATCACTAATAACTATTTATGTAAATTTATAAAGGACAGTTCCACAAAAAAACAATGTTTATATTACAAAAAATTTAAATTGGGTATTGCTGTTGGAAACAAAAGTATTTTATTTGTGTCATCAGAGCATAATTGAAGGACACACCAAGGAAATAGAAGACTGTCTGGTTCTATATATTTAATACCAGATGAAATTTCAGCTGTGATGTAAGCAGAATAACTTTTAATAATTAACTTTTGCGCTTTGAAAATACGTTTTTCATTTTCTGTTAAAATTTCAAGAATTTTATAGAATTCTAATTTATTTTCATTTGTGTCAGAAACAATGTCACCTTGCTTATAAAATATTCCATTAATGACTGCACTTGAAATCAAACCATCCTTAAACTTTAATTGATCAACCTCTCCATAAACATCACATCGTCTTTCACCAAAAGAATTAAAAAACAATCCAGTTATATTTACAATCATTGCTTTGCAAGCTGAATATGGAATGTTTTTAAAATTGAAATGTCTGAAATTTTTTATTACTTGATGTTTACGTTCAAATGCAAGACAGAGATGCCCACGTAATGAGCCAAATTGAGATGCTTGTGATGGATAGTGTACAAGAAAATGTAGTTTTGGAATAAAACTGTTTGAATATAATTGAAGGAAACTGCAATGATGTGCTTGAATACAAACCCTTAGGTCCTTAATATAAATATCAGTTACTAACGGAGACATACATAGCTGCACTATTTGTATAAGTTTAACTAAGCATGAAAGATGAGGATCAGATAAATCCATAAATCTTAATAAATAAAAACACAGCACACGAGAGAGAGTTAATATTTGTCCACTACCAAATTGTCCTCGGATTTTAAGTGAAGGTAAAATAATACCAGGCTTTTCAATACCAGAAGGATATTTATATGATTGAAGCCATTGGTTAAGATCAGCTAAGGGAAACTTTTCTGGTATACAGTACAGTAAAAATAATTCTAGATGTAATGGCACAACCCCTTCCATCAAATCATGCATAGGATCAAAAAGCAACTGCTTGGTGACATCGAAATTTGGAATATCTGATAAAATACTAAAGTTAACAATACCATAATTTCTTGACCATTTTGTTCTATTAGTTTTACTTAGCCCAGAATTCAATTCATTTAAACGTATGACATGTTCAGGCAAATTTCGAATCAGACACTCTTCATGTGTTGTAAACTCAATCATTTCAGCCCGTGTAGAATTACACCGCCTACAGCAGCGAACAGTTTTTTGACTAAATCCTTCTTTAAATCCTCCGATTGAATTTGCTGCTAAAGAATCCCCAGAAAAGTATAAAACCTCAGCTGTAACTGTCATTAACTTTCCAGCAATACTTATTTTTACACCTGTATATAATAGTTGTATCGTTTCTTTAAAATCTTTAAGTAAAAAAGAAAAATAAATGAAATTTTTAGTAAGCTTACTAAATGTAAAAACCAATGGGAAAATAGATGATGTTCTACCTCTATACTTTCCAGAAATGTTAAGAATTTGAAAGTACATAACCCAAAGTTTGTGTTTCGAACGAGCTTTACCAATTGGATTTGTAATCCCAATATCATCTGCATAAATAGCTAATTGAATATGATGATGTGTATTTGATACCTTCGTAAACTCTTTAATCTCAGGCGATTGTAATAAAAACTCTAGCATCGTCATAAGTGGAACAACTGATCCTTTACCAACAATCTTTATAGTAGGCATAGAAAATACATTTTTAAAATATTTTTCACGAGAATATTGTGATGATAATTTTTTACAGGATTCATTTAGTTTTTTTACATCATAAATTGGGTCAGTAAATAGCTCTTTTAAAGTTGAAAATATAACATCTAAAACAGCATGAGAACATCTGTACTTAGACTGCAAATGTAAAGCTAACATACCAAGATAATCATTATTTAAATCATCAACATTATCATACACTATTTGATCAACTATTATATTAGGTTCAGTTTTATCATCAAAAGTATTATTTTCTTTACTACAATTAGCAATGTGCTTTTGATAACCATATAAACTTTTAAACTTGGAAAAACAATTAATACAAAACACTGCGGCACAATTACCATGTAATTTTAAATGATTTCTTATTAAAGTGTAAGTATCTGAAATAAAAGGACAATTAGCACAATAAAATGTTACTTTTCTTTTGGTTATTTGAGGTCTATTGCAGCTGGATGAGTCTGCAACTAACTCTGTACCACTCTCAGTTTCTATAGATATATTTGTTAATGATGTTGTAGAGCAAGCTGAATAATTTTTTAATGATGATTGTGATTGATAACTAAGAGAGGGATTGAAGGAGATGTGTTTAATTTGATTTCTTTCTGAATTGTTAAAGTCTTCTTTCAGAATTAATTTGATTTCTTTCTGAATTGTTAAAGTCTTCTAAATGAGCTAAAAACCCGTTTAATGGATAGCTATTTGAAATATCAATGAAACTGGAAACTTCTACTGTCATTTCTACCGATTGCTCACATATTACTGCAGGAAAAGTTGAAGTGTTTACTGCACAACCAAGCCATTTTAAATTTGATATGTTTGGAACATTAAAAGTAGAACAAACTAAAAAAAAAAAATTTATAAATATTTTTATTATACATACACATAAACATACATATAACTACATATACATACATACACACACAGATCACAATCTGTTAGAGGTCAGCATCATGTTGGCAAAAAAAATATTCATATAATTATTCAAATTTCAGTACTTTCCAAATTTTTTAAAGACTTTGAGAACTCTGTATATAGTTGTATAATTAATTTATATTTTATCAATTTATAAAATAAATCAACTATACTTACTATTTGCCATAAATGCATTTAGATCATTGGATGTGGCAACAACAATTTTTGACTCCCCATTACAAGTAACTTTTACAGCTTTCATATTGAATTTACTCTTTGTGACTTATATATAAAGTTATAAAAAATAATTAGTTTACATACACACACACACACACACACACATATATACACACTCATATAAATTTTATATATATATATATATATATATATATATATATATATATATATATATATATATATATATATATATATATATATATATATATATATATATATATATATATATATATATATATATATATATATATATTAAGATGATTTATATAGATCTAAAGAATTTATAGTAAGGTGTTGCAGCAGTTATATAGATCTAAAGATTTTATAGTAAGGTGTTGCAGCAGTTATATAGATCTAAAGAGTTTTGTAAAACTTTCTTATGGCTAGCAAAATAAAATGTATTATAAAATACATATATATGTCTCTTTACCCAAACAGAGAGGGGCATGTGTGGATAATTTTTTCCCGTACCTTTTCCTCCCCCACTCTAACCTTTTTCTTTGTACTTCAGAAAAATAAATGATAGCGTTAGAAAAAATATTAACTTAAAATATAGATTTAGGTTTCTGCATCTATATTTCATGTAGACGAAGGATAAAAAAGCCACTTAACATGTCTTTCAGTGTGTTCAAGTATATTAAATATTACCTATTACTCAGCTCTTACATAATTAACGAGTGAAGGTGGCTCGGTGAGTTTGAGAAATTCGGTCTCTTGTGAAATAAAACTGAAATTGCTTTTTCTTTCAAAATCATACTTGTTTGTTCGAGGATACTCTACTAACATTTCTTCCTTTGTAATGGCAGACAATAACTGATTTGAATTAGCTAGGGCAAAAATAACAGGAGTGGGATCTAAGTACAAGCTGTGTTTTCCCCACCTTTTGAAGACTGAAGCTGCAGCTACAAACTTCTCCAAGTTGGCCATGTGCCAGATAAAGTGCTGGTCCTGCTATGTTAAAAAATTAATACAATTTGGGTACACTATTTTATCAAATAAAATGCTAAAATTTAACTATGATTATTTGTATCAAAGGCTAAAAAACTAACTTGGATTGCAGCTGTATCTGATTTTTCAGCTCTCAGATTTTGAGGAGCATAGAAAATTGAAATAAAAATTGCCATCTTTTTCACCTCATTAATCTTCTCCTGGCTAAATTTTAGGATTTGCTAGTTTGAATTAAGAAGAAGCATTATCTTTAGATAGTAGATACTCTTTGCCACATACCGAGCATGATGTACTGCTCTAGGCTTTTTTATGTTGAGAGGCTTGAATTTCGGTTTCAAGAACATGAGAGCTAGCTTAGCAGTTCCTGCTAGTCTGCTCTCTTTTCGTGTCTCATAAAAAAATAAATGCGGATATTTAATTTCATTCATTATTTTTTTGTATTCAAACTTGTAGTTTTAAATGTTTAGAAAAGTTTACTTGAAAGTTTTTGAAGACTCCTTCATTCACATTCGTCATTAAATTTCTTTACATTTTCTTGCTTTTTCTGCTTGTTCATTAAACCAAGAATCATAAATAGATTGCCATTTGAAATGAGTGATGACACAGTTTTTCACATCAATATCATTTCACTTACTTTTCAACCCTTTAAAGAGTGCGTTGTCAGGTCCTGCGGTTTTGTCTATGGTAACTGCTTACTATCAATGTTTTAATATGACTTCTAAATCACAATTTCTGCAAGCAAGAATCAACAATGGTTTACCAACATCGTTTTGCAGTCTGAAAAGTTAAGATTATAACTAAATTGTTTATGGTAATTAGCTTTTAGAGTTCTTTTTTTAAATTATATTGAAAAACAGCTCACCTGTATATAGCACTACGAATCATTCCAGTATTAATAGCAATAGTATCGAAGCAGACCATCCTAACGTGATCATCAATTTCTCTTTCAAAATTTCATTGATAGCCTTGAACTGATTTAGCCCAGTACCAGAATGAATTCTTGGAGAGCCAAGTAGATGATTAGTACCTCCAGCTCTCACAAGAACACAAATCCTATCAATTGCTTCATCACCGTGATTTGATATCAAATCCTAGAATTAGGATTAGATTAACGATGTAAGAAAAACAGTTGTTTTCAATTAAAACACCAGTTAAAATTAAATATATGCAAACCTTGATTAACTTTCCATCAAAGTGTAACTGAATTTTTACCTCACCCTGTCCGATCTCTTTTTTTATAAAAATGTTAATATTTCCAGCATCTTTGTTAATAATATTGTTTTTTATTTGAAAAGCTGAAGTTTAAGAAAGGGGCAACTTATTTGGATCACCTCCAGCTGTGGTGACAAGCTTTATCAGGGTTGCTGTAATTTTATAAGCTGTTATATCCATGTCTATAGCTGTTCTCATAGTTTCTTTAATAACTTCTCGGTTGATAACAATGGCTTGTTCTTGATTTTTAAAACTCCTTATTGAACAGTCTATATAATTATTTTCTGATTCATATTCTGAACTTGGGTCTAAAATATTTGTTTTAGGTAGATGTACACTATCAGTAGAGCACATTTTAAAACCTCTAGACTGAACAAATGATTTTTCGCAAAAACCTGTTGATGAACTTTACTCTGAATCCTTTTATTTCTCTTCTGCTCTTTCTCGGCTTTACGTCAATAGGCGTCAATAATATCATTTTTATTTCTTCAATTTGATCCTTCAGAAAATTTTCTTTGTGTTACTGAGCCCAAACGGTCCTTAAAAATATTTATACTAAATAAAAAATTAACAGTTCAAGTAAATATTTATTTAATTTAAATTGGAGTAGTGAATTTCAAAGGAGATTATGAATAACTTTTTGAATAAAAAGTAGTTAGTACCTCTAACAGTCTTTAAAAAGTCAGAGCGAGATTGCATATATCTTGCCTTACTGTTATGTTGGTTTTTCTTGAGCTTCAGATATCTGTTAATATATTTTGTTATATTCCTTTGCAGGGTGACAGGTTCTTTCATAGCGAAACCAGATCTTAGCCATGGAAACCAAAGTGCTCCTTGTACACATTCCTTTTTGAAAGTAGTATCCAAAGAAATACACTGGAAACTGAATAAAAAAGTTTGAAGAATTTGTGACAAAAAACTCACTTATCAGATATTTTTTTTCAACAAATATAATTTTTGTGAAACTACATATAACATTATATTTTTTCCTCAATGCTATTGAAGTTTTGTTTTTTTATAAATAGATATGTTTTTCTGTAGGTTTTTTGTTCATTTTAAACCAATTAAAGTGTAAATTATAAATTGAACCTGAATTTGTTGCTCAGAGGACAGAAAATAAGACGTTTATTTTGATAACTTGGCCCATTCTTTTTTTTTAAGATAAAGAAATTGCTTAATCACATTAGCCCTAGTTGGTAGCTTCATGGAACACATCTTAGCTGGTTTACACACCAAAAAGTGATCGAGCACCTACTCTTCTTCTCTTAATAGAATTCTTTTGCATTTTATAATTTCGAAATCTAAAAATACCTGTCCTAGGTCCTAAAAGTTCAAAAATTGCATTAAATACATTCAAAAAATATTAGTTTAACATTATTATTAAAAATAACTAAACATAAACAATTTTACAAATGTACTTTTAATAAAAAACCAGCATTAAACTAACTTCAAACCAAAAGCAACGAAAACTTTAGATACTGATTTTTGATAAATAAAAAAAATGTAGATAAAATATAAATATTCAAAAATTGTTAAAAATTGTCTAACTGTTTATTTATATGTACCAAACGCAGTCTTTTTAAATTGTCAATATAAACAAATTTTGTTTTGTAAAACAAATAATATTTTCAAAATACAAAATTTATCATCAGTAAATCGATTTTTTGAACCGAAAAACATTTGGCCTTTTGCATGTTTTTTCTCTTGTTCTAATAATAATGGTACTTTGCGGTTTTATTATTTGTATATTTTAAAATGGTTTATATTATACTTTATACAGATTGTAAACGAGTCTCATTTTTTATTACTTTATCTAAATGTAATTTTATTATTCTTAATTTACTTTATTTCATTCTATATCATAATATTTTTACGATAAAATTAAATAAAAATTATTATGCGGTTTTATAACCATTTTGTAGCAAAGTGAATTGCTAAACAAAAATTTTTTCTTTTTGCTCTTACCTCCATCCCCCCCCCCCCCCACTATCCATATTCTTGCAGTTTCCCAAATCAAGTTGTAGCAAGGTGATCCCATAAAGCTAGGGTGCCAATTTTTTTCAAGCATGCTCTAGACATAGTAAGCTAACAAATAAGTCGTATACATATTTGTAAATATCTTAGATCTCGAGAAAATTTCAATCTTGTAAAAAATTACAAATTTTGAAAAACTTTGGTTGAGTGTAGCAAGGTGAAATTTTTTTTTTGAAAAATCAAAGTGCTATCTTAAAATCACTCATGATTACACATCCTTTTAGCTTGCAGACATGTTCTTAAAAAAAAAATTGTAAAATTTGAACACCCCTAATACACACAAAACATGATATAACATAGAAACATTGTCTTCTATCTACTTTTTTTTTTGGATAATCAAAATATCACTTGTCTTCTTTTGAATTCTATCTTCCAAATTAAAAAAAATTTTCGTTTTAAAGTTTCATTTTTTTTGACTCACTGGAATGAAAATGCCCACTAGACTTCGTCTTAAACTGCACAATGAAAAAGTTTAAAGCTGATTCAAAACGGCATTCACTAAAATGACGTCAATAGATTAGATTTCAAATACATATTTTGAAAGTAATTTAATTGTTGAATCAAAAAATTAGTTTATACTACATTTATACTAAGTTTATACTACATTTCTACGTGTAGTACAGACTTAAACTAATTTTAAGTCTGTATTACTTTTACTTTATGTCTTTAACTTTTTTACTGCATTTCTATTACTTTTTACTACATTTCTTTAACTTTTCAATTTTATTTGTTTCCGTTGTGCTCATAATTAGTAATAAATATTTAGTAAATTTCATTATTTGTAATAAAACACAACGCAATTTTTGTGGATTAATAACTTCTTGGTTATCTATCTTTTGTTTCTTTCTGGGCCACCTCTGGTAGTAAGATATTAAATGTTCATTGGGTGCAAGTTGTC